TGGCATTAGGCATTTACTTACATTTCAGTAGATTGGGGCAGCACAGTGGCTAAATGGTTAGCACTTCCGCCTGGCAGTACTAGGGTCCTTGGTTTGAATCCCAGCCACCTGCCTGGAGTTTGCATGTTCTTCCTGTGCCTGCATGGGTTTCCTCCGGGTACTCCGGGTTCCTCCCACACTCCAAAGACATGCTGGTAGATTAATTGGATCCTGTCTAAATTGGTCCTAGTATGTGTATGTATGAATGTAAGTTAGGAACCTTAGATTGTACACCCCTTGAGGGTTAGGGACTGATGTGAATGTACAATATATATGTAAAGCGCTGCGTAAATTGACGGCGCTATATAAGTACCTGAAATAAATAAATTTCACTTCCTGGTCTTTATAGGCACTGGTGATGTAGCTGGGGCCTCGCAGCTGCCCCCGGGAGGGCTATGTCAACAGTGCCTTCCAAGGAAGTCTCCAGTATACATTGTAAGACCTTGCATGATTTCCTGAACAGCTCACAAGTTCTTCTATCACAGATTCATCTTTTCCCAGATGATATCTAGTGTCACGAGGGCAAGGAGGAAGCTACAGAACTTTACATACATCAATACAATCCTATGAGATTTCATTAATTTATTCATAAATTCTTCCAACTCATTATACACACTCCTGGAAATAAAGTCAAATAGAATCATCTGCTGTTTTTAAAAATAGCTGCATGAAAAGCTTTGGAGCACATAAAAGATAAAAAGGAGGCAGAGCACACCCTTTAATGTAGAGTAACTATGTACTTTTGTTTGGAATGTTGAAGGGGGAGGTCCACTTTACTTACCTTGGTTAAATAGGGGATGTATAAATCCTGTATCGGACAAATCAGTAGATTTCAGGAGTCAAAAAACCCAGTCAAGGGACTTTTTTATGTCGGTTGACATGCATTTTAGCGTGTGTTAAATAAAGCGTACTGCATCTTCACAGGATATCTTGTGCATTGTGTTGACATCTGCTTACACCCATTTCATTATGTTAAAATGCATACATGTTGCTTTTTAGTGCAACACAGTGTTATGGTGTGACTAGGACATATTGGAAATTTTGTTTTTCAGATGCCCTTCTGTTGATCTGTGTTTTTACAGCTGCGCTAAAACGCAGATCAATGCACGGGGGGGTGGATTGGCCCTTAAGCTGGCCATACATTATACAAATTTCATCTGGTTCTTCATGGTTCTTAGTGGGTGGCCCTGTTGGCCCCCTTCTAACCGATGATCTTCAATTGAAAAATCAAAGGGGGCCCTGGTGGAAAATTCTCAGAGGAGAATGGGCAGACCGATTACTGCAACATTCAGATGGTAGGGTCAGAATTTGGCGTAAAGAACATGAAAGCATGGATCCATCCTGCCTTGTATCAATGGTTCAGGCTGGTGGTGTAATGGTGTGGGGGATGTTTTCTTGGCAATAGCAAGGTGTACCTAATGAAGTGGCCGGTGAGTAGATATGGTAACTTGTCCTAAAAAAGGTAGTATTTGGATACTAAAACCAGTTTAGAAAATTGATGTGGTATGGGGATACAGATGTAAGTGTAACAAGTCTGTCTGTCCCTTAGTAACAGGTTTTTTTAAGTAGCCAAGGAACGTGCTCTTGCATTGAGAACAGAACAACATAAAGGCTAAAAATAAGTATGCTATTACAGGGGTGTGGAAATTTTTTAAAAAACTACTTGTCCAGGGACTAAATCAGGGTCCCAGTCTACTTGTCCCGCATGACAATCTACTTGTCCAGATAAAAGAGAAAAAAAAAATGTTTTTAACCAAAATTGTATTTAAATCTGAGGTGCTGTTAGGAATGTCTGGGACTTGTAAAATCAGAAGGGGCTCTGTGGTGACTTGAACGTTTAATTTTTTTTAACATTGCGCTGTATATCTCCTCCTCCCCTCCCTGCCCATCTCCAGCACTGCACTGGGACTAGTAGGGAGCAGAGAGACTTTGCAGTGCAATGAGCACCGATTGGGTGCTCGTCAGGAGAGGGGAGTGTCAGGCTTATCCTTTATCCCTTTTGCTGCCAGAGCCATTTTTGTGGGGTAGCCTGAAATTTCATACATTATCCATGAGCCCTATGAAGACCTTTTACACCTCTGAAGAGTAATCGAGGTTGAAGATAGCTCAAATCTCACTATGCAAATTGTAATCACCTCAAATATACATAAAGGTTAGTAAAAGTGTCAAAACAAGAAAAATGAAAAGTTCATATAGCTATAAGCCATAATCCATAAATATGAAAAGAAATTTCCACAATCGATGGTATTATTGTAGACCATGCTGTAGCTGCAAATGTGGATAGACTTGCTTCAACTGGTCACCAAGGTGCACACCACCACCGAAGTATCGAATGAAGGCTTACCAGAAATGGAGACCCCTTAATTACAGGGGGTCCCAACCAGCTTTATAGTGTAGAGCACCGGAAGGCTTTCCGTATCACGCCCCAAAGCATGGAACTTCCCAGGCTCCAATTCGAGTGTAAACTCAAAATGTAGTGCTAGAGAAGGTCATGAAAGAAAAAACATGCCTCCTATAGTGCAATACGTATTAAAAAACATATTTATTTGTGCAAATAGGATCCTACTTACAAGCTGTAGAACAATTAAAAGCATTCACGTGAACCATATCCAAGATGGCCGACAGCGCGATGATGTCAGAGGGAGGCTCTGCCCCCTGACAAACTTCAGTTCCCTATATATTCTATAGGCACGATGCTTTTAAAGCCCCTTTATAGGTCATCAGTATAGTGTTACAGAAGAGGCCTTAGTAGGTGCTATAATTATTGCTCTCATTCTGGCCTGATTGGCGATATGTAATGTGAATTGCAGTGAACATTTTCATGCGTAGGCACCCCAGCGCGTACTTTTACTTTTGTATGTTGGGGTGGGCGGGCCTCATATTTTTTTTTTTTTTTTGGAGGGGATGTTGTATGCTTAGGTGCAACTTTGATTTTTTTTTTTTTTTACTTTTTTTAAATTGAATTTTTTTTTTTAATTTTTTTTTTTCATCACATAGGGGACAAAAAGTCCCCTATGCAATGATTTTTTGTTGACAGGTTCTCTTTAATGAGACATCCAGGTCTAAAAGACCCTGCATGTCTCCCCGGAATGTAATGCAGTGTACATCACACTGCATTACATTCTTTCCCGGAGTCAGGAGCTGGGAAATTGAGAACGGGGACCCGGAAGTGACATCATAACTTCACTTCCGGGTCAGGACAAGAAGGGGCGGGGAGCGGACACATTCGCTCTCCTCCCTCCCCTCTAGCTGCCGGCGCATGCTGAGCCAGTCCTGGGCCTGCAGATGGGCAAGCGGAGCCTGGGAGACTTGGGAGAGTGGGGGGAGGTTCACATGTGGGGGAGCGGAGGCTGGCACCATGGTGGATTGTGTGAAAGCAATTGGGCGGCAGCGCTGCTGTCCGAATGCTTTCACTTGACAGGTGAGCACTGCTGCTTGCCTGCAGCAGGGCTAAAAGTTTAAAAAAGCTACCTGCCCAACACCCAGAACTACATGTCCCAGGCATCAGGCGGTACACATTCAACATCCCTGTATTCTGAAGGATTTTGGCTATGCCTTTTCTACAAAAATATTTATAGCAAATAACAGACATAATGCTCTGTCACACAGAGCAGGGTCCACTCCGATTTTGTCGATTTTACAATAAGGTTGCTGCTTGATTAATTCCAAAAGTGACATACTGATGCCTATTTTTTTAGGTGTACTTGTGTTTAAAGAAACCTCGTCGGGAGACAGATATGAAGCCTGAGATGTTCATAGGGGTCTATGAACTTATGCATTCAGTGACAACAGAAAAGACTCTACAAAATGAGGTGCAAACTGCAAAAATGCCTTCCAGATATTTGCAATTAGAGTAATGGCTGATTTAGAGTTTAGAAATTCTGCTTTGATCACTAAGATTCCCTGTTGATACTACTTGTCTCTTCTTTGCATTTCTTGCTTGTCTCTCAAATTGTATGCTGCATGCTTTTGAGAATTGCTTCCCTATGTAGGAGGGCCAAAGGTTTACTAAGTACTGCCACCTAAACCTCTTCTGCTTCACATTTCCAGGGTTAAGAGACACTTCTTTCTTACCTTTAACACAGAGTTTGGGGATTAAGGCGATAACATGCTCTAATTTTGCACAGGGGCCTTGGAATTTTTGGACAACCTTAGGGTGCCCTGCTATACCCCAGTTGTTTTATCCTTTTACACTGTTCTGTGAGTTTGTATCGAGGAAAATTCTGCAACTGCAAAATGAAAAGTGATGTACCTTTTGATTAGAACAAGGATATAGGGACGGGTCCCTTCTAGTCCTGAAGTGTGCAAAAACCAGCATGTTATCACACTAATTGCCCCCCCTTAACAGTCCTGATGACAAGATTTGCAGCTCCTAGTTTAGAAAAAACAAAAGGCCTAGTAGCTGTGCCTTACTGTTGTTTTGCAAGTTAACAGCATGAAGAGCGATACCATGGGTTTTAGCTTGTACAGTATAAGAGCAGTGTGAACAGCAAGGTTTTATGAAACTTTCCACCAGCTTTTGCAAGTTTCAAGCAGCTTTTTGTAAAAAAGCTCTAGTCAGCTATTGTTTAAAAATGTTATCCACAGATCTTAATGGGAGTGCTGATTGCCACTTTACACAAGTTTCTAACTGGCTTCAGCAGCCTTTCAACAAGCTTCAAGAAGTGCTGAAGTTAGCAGCTTGTTTAAAGTGGCAATCAGCACTCCCATTAGGATCTGTGCTCAACATTTACAAACTGGAGTTTAATGGCACTTTAAAAGTTTCAACAAAGTGTTCTGAAAGGGCTGCAAATGCATTGTAAAAGCTTGCTGTTCACACTGCTGTTATAAAGGCTAAAGTCCATGTGGCAAATGCCTAATTATTTTCAAGCTCTGTTTTGTTTGTTGATCATGCTACAATTTTTCTTGTGATTCTAGATGTGTGACATATATATATGTGTATCTATATTATCTTTTTACATTCAGGATGAAGAGAGGAAGAATGGCCAGTGATACCAGCATTGGTTTATCAGTAGGAGAACTGGGAGAATTGTCAAAGAGACCCAAAAATTCAGGAGATGAAACCACAGAGATGTCAAAGTCACATGACTGGGGAAATCTGCTTCCAGATATAATACTACAGATTTTTCAGTATTTACCACTTTTGGATCGCGCACATGCTTCACAAGTGTGCAGGAACTGGAATTATGTTTTTCACATGCCTGATTTGTGGCGTTGCTTTGAATTTGAGCTTAATCAACCAGCTACTTCTTACCTAAAGGCAACACATCCCGATCTGATCAAACAGATTATAAAAAGACATTCAAATCACCTGCAGTATGTCAGCTTTAAGGTAGCTTACTGAAATATTGTCATTTTTAAGAATTACTAGGGTGTGCTTTTGCCTCTTCTATTTAGGAACTAACAAAAGTGTTAAAATTTGGAGGGGGTTGGGGAAAGAATTGTCAAAGAAGAGGTAGGTGGGTAGGCATGGTAGAGTAGCGAGGGGGCAGCAAGCAAGGGCAGCAGGTGCAGCACTGTAGTTTGAGTGAAATTATTATGTGTGTGAAAGTGGTTTTGACACTCGCACTCCTGAAAGGATCCCCATGTGCAATAAAATTGGGAGCGTGAGAGTTGCTTTTGCTCCAGAAAGGCTGCCATCAATATGGTGCATGCATAGTAGTGGTTGCTGTTAGGGATGCACCTAAATTTTGTTTTGGCCGAACACACCCCTTTCGGCCAAAATGAAAAAAGCACCGATACAGGTGCTGGAAAAACCCTGCCGCCGGCCGCTGCCACCACCGGCCACCGCTCGGTAGTTCAGCCTTACCTGAGAAACCATCGATCCCAGTGCTGGGCATAGAGATGAGTGAAGTAAAGATGGCTGTCACACATCTCTATGCCCTTTTGAGGATTGGAGCAATTTCTCTTCCAATTCCGGCCATTTTTTTTTTTTTTTAAAGCATTAGATCAATGCTTTTTTTTTTTTTTATCCAATGCTTTAATTGCAGAGGAGAGATATGCGGTCTTATTGACCCCATATCTCTCCATAAAGAGGACCTGTCACTTATTTCTATCAAAGGATGCATGCATTTCTTGTGATAAGAATAACAGTGCAAAAAAACAAAAAACATTAAATACATTTTTTTTTAAAAAGTTTAAAGTGCCCGCGTCACCCCGTGCTCGCACGTAGTGATGAACACATATGTAGGCCATGCCCACTTATGTAAATGGTGTTCAAACCACACATGTGAGGTATCGCCACGAACATCGGAGCAAGAGCAATAATTCTCGCACTAGACCTCCTGTAATTTTACACTGCTAACCTGTAGAAATTTTGAAAGCATCACCCATGGAGATTTTTAACTATCGCAGTTTCACGCCATTCCATGAGCGTGCGCAATTTTGAAGCGTGACATGTTGGGTATCTATTTACTCACCATAACATCCTCTTTCATATTTTACAAAAAAATTGGGGTATAGTTTTTTTTATAATCAGTGTATTTTTTTCCAAAAAATATACATTTATTTTTAAAAAACTGCGCATTTTGGTTTTCGGCCAAGTGTGCATTTTGAATTTTTGGTTTTGGCATCAGAATTTTCATTTTGGTGCACCACTAGTTGCTGTGCACTGCTACTATCACACGTGCATGAGAACATGTTGTGATGGGCAGATGGATTCTCCAGCCATAGCCAGCAGAGAGGGTCAAACCTGTTACCAGTTCAGGATCGCAGGGATTGCCACTTGCTCGATCTGCAGAGCGCCTGTGTGCAGTGTTTCCAGGCAGAGGGGTGTATCAGCAGGTTTTGGAGGTGCAGATACATGCTCCTGCCATACAGATCTGTACCTCCGAGTCAGTGAAAGATGAAGTAGGTCCTTTCCTTTTTAAGATTTTTTTCCTTTTATTACTTTACTTACTTTTATTTATTTACTTTTAGTGTAGTGGTGCAATAGCTATCTTCAGCCAGAACTTTGTTTACAAGCTGATAATCTGCTGAGTTTATCCCTTAAATCCAGATTTTTGGGAAAAGTGTTGAACCTAAACTGAATGATAAGCCTAGTTGTTCATTTTATTCTTTGCATTTTACTGTAGATACACTAGTATGCATCATTTATTTCAGGTGGATAGCAGCAAGGAATCTGCAGAAGCTGCATGTGATATTCTTTCGCAACTAGTAAATTGTTCCCTAAAAACTCTTGGACTTATTTCAACTGCAAGACCAAGCTTTATGGATTTACCAAAGGTAAATATTGGTGTTTGTTTTGTAAACTGGTGATTTTAATTTCCTTTTGCTAAACATTAAACAGATGCAGCCATCACTTCCTTTACAGGAAAAGAACCTTAGCCTAAACCAAAAACAAACCTTTAATATATAGTTTACCAGTGTTTGGATTTGTCTGAATTAGGTTTCTTTTTTTAGGCTATTAACATTTTTAGCAGAAAAAGATCTTGATCTTGCCAGAAAAGAGATGTTTCGTAACTTCCTGTGCACTGAACTTAATGTAGATAAAGAGAGGGGGATGTGTTTGTAGTCCAAATCAAAAGGGTAACTTGGGGTGAAAATGCTGCTTCCTTCATAGATATGGTGGAGTGGGTCATTGTGTGTTGTCACCATAGGATAGTGCTTTATTTGTAGGATTACTAAGTAAAAAAAAAAAACAAAACAAAACAAATGCTTCCACCACATCTAAGGACTGGTAAACTGCAATATCTTACATTTGTTTTTGGTTTCAGATTTGCTTTAATGTGGTGGTAAAATCTAATGTGTTTTTTTTTTTTTACCTTATGCATTCTCTGCATTAAAGGTAAAAAGCCTTCCAATACTAGTTTCACCCACCCCCCTTTCTAGCACTTACCTGAATCCTCTATCGATCCAGCGCTGTGCATGGCTGCAGGTCTTCTCTCCCTACTTCCTGCTCTCACAGGCTTGACTGAGAGCCATGGCAGCCATTGGCTTCCGCTGCCGTCAGTCAAATTCTGTGAGGAGAGAGCAGGGGGTGGGATAGAGCCGCACTGTGTGTGTTTATGGACACACACAGCCCGTACAGGGCCCGCACTTGTGCCCTCATAGCAAGCAGCTTGCTGTGTGGGCACACACAGAAGAGGAGGAGCGGAGAGTGCTCACGGGGGGCTGCAGAAGGACGCAAAAGACCGCTCTGTGCAATACCATTGCACACAGCAGGTAAGTATAAATCTCTTTGTAAACTCTTATTACTTTTTAAATAAAATAATCACTTTAACACTCCTTTCTGCACATTGTTTAGATTTTAAACAATTGACATAATATACTAATTGTATTGGTTGCCACCCATGTGTTAGATCTTTTAATGGGTTAGCGGCTTCCATTGTAATGACTGTAGAATAATGCAGACATTAACCACATGCCCTCCAGATGATTTACCCCCCTTTCCTGACCAGGCCATTTTTTGCGATATGGCGCTGCGTTACTTTGACAATTACGTGGTCATGCAACGCTGCACCCAAATTAAATTATGTCCTTTTTTCCCACAAATAGAGCTTTCTTTTGGTGGTATTTGATCGCCTGTGCAGGTTTTTTTTTTTTAATTTTTTGCGCTATAAACAAAAACAACCTGACCCTTTTGTGAAAAAAAAATATATATATATTTTTGACTTTTTGCTATAAAACTTATCCAGTAACGAAAACTTTAAAAAGTAAAATTTTGTCATAAATTTAAGCCAAAATGTGTTCTGCTACATGTCTCTGCTAAAAATAAAATCCCAATACATGTAAATTAATTGGTTTACGTGAAAGTTATAGTGTCTACAAATGGCGGTATATATACTGGGATTTTTTTTCTTTATACTAGTAATGGCGGCAATCAGCGACTTATAGCGGGTCTGTGGCAGGCATTCTGACATTGGGGGAGCAACTGATTAACTGCCACTGATATCCCAATAAAACTAACACAGTGATCAGTGCTAATAAAAAGCACTGATACTGTACTAATGACACTGGATAGACGGGGTTAACATCTGGTGCGATCAAAGGGTTAACTGTGTGCTGTGTGTGTGATTGACTAGGGAAACCTACTGCTATGCAGAGCAATACAAAGAAGCATGTCGGTGCTGACGGGAGAGTTCCTTGTTGTTTACACACAGACCTCTCACCTTTCCTCAGCAATCGCCGGGTGCCGGCAGGAAATCTCCAGTCGGGACCTGGCGATCGACATCTGTAGCCACCAATATATATGTGATTTTGCGCAGCCCTGTAGCAGTAGTTCTGCTTCAGGGTGCCCATACTGACCCTTGTCCACAGTGAAAAGTGCCTACAATGGGTGTGGGAGCATCAGAACTGGAACAAGGTGCAATGGAAGAAGGTGGCTGGTGTGATGAATCAAGTTTTCTTTTACATCATGATACCTTTCCTGTATAATGGGGTCGTGTTTACACAGTTGTGAGTTCTTGTCAGTAGGACCTTCTGCATGTTACTTGGTTAAAGGCACTGATATTTTACTGTAATAAACACTCTTGTTTTCTTTCTCTCTTATAGTCACACTTCATATCTGCACTTACGGTTGTGTTTGTCAATTCAAAATCACTCTCCTCACTTAAAATCGATGACACTCCAGTTGATGATCCATCTCTGAAAGTGCTAGTGGCAAATAACAGCGACACACTGAAGCTTCTGAAAATGAGCAGTTGCCCTCATGTCTCACCTGCAGGTATGTATGCAGATAATATTTAGCTTAAAGCTGATCTCTGTTTCATTTAACTTTAAATAGTTAGTTTGGACTAAGCTGGTTTAAACAAAGTATTTACTTCACTAACAGCTGAAGCTACTGTATGTGCTGTATAAACTGCATGTAGCCTCAGCTACATGTTCCCACTGCTGAAACAAATCAAGCCTGTTCAGAAGAAACTTTGTATTCTATGAATAAATACAAAGCTTCTTCTGATTGGCTAAGAGAGAGCTTTGTATTTAGATTTCACAGCTTCATTTGAATGGTTGAGCAGCACTCAGCCCAACTTGATTTTGTGCAAAAATGAGACAGGAACTTCTCACACAGCACTGTAAGTAGTATTTAGCTGAGGATACATACAGTTTATACAGTATGCCCACCAGACACATCTGTTCATGAAGGAAGCAGTTCATTTGGTCCAGCTTGGCCCAAACAAACTCTTGAAAGCACAGGAAGCTTGGAACTATCTTTTAAGATGATTTCAAGTGTTTGGAAACCCCCCAAAAAAAGAAATGTCACTTCCTGGTAGGTTACCCTCCTTGGTAGCTTACCCTCCTTTGCATGCAGGGGATTACTTTCCTGTGCAAGCTCTTTCTTTTTTTTTTTTTTCATTTACCTGTCGATCCTGCCTGTAAAGAACTTTCTGTCTTAGGGTCCTTTCACGTGGGCATTCTGTTTTTTTGTTTTTTTTTTTTTCTTCAGTTCAGTCACGTTTTTTTCAAAGAAAAAACGGATGAGTTTACATCTGTTTTTTATTTCATCCGTTTACATCTGTTTTTACATGTTTTTTCATCCATTTACAACCGTTCAGATCCATTTATATCCGTTTTGGTCCGTTTCTATCCGTTAACATCCATTTTTCATCCGTTCCAGTTTTTCTTTGTGGAAGAAAAATAGGGGTTTCTTTTGCTCAAAAAACGGATGTTAATGGATGCGGGCATTAACAGATGTAAAAAGATGTTCATCCGTTTACATCCTCAAGTCCATAGGATACATGAGGGCCTGTTTTTCATCCGTAAACAGACAGATGAAATACAGACATATGGATCGCCCGTGTGAAAGGGGCCTTAGGGTGACTATGCTGCTGTACATCAACAATTCTGAATTCTAAACTTTTTCACAGGACTCCACAAATTTTTGTATGAATTTTAGTTTCAGAATTTTTCTTTGACTGAAATTACATTTTCAAGTGGACCCGTTTTACAAGTCACATTTGTTTTTAAAGGTAAATATTATATATACAGTATATATAATATTTACCTTTTAAAAACAAATGTGACTTGTAAAACGGGTCCACTTGAAAATGTAATTTCAGTCAAAGAAAAATTCTGAAACTAAATTCATACAAAAATTTGTGGAGTCCTGTGAAAATCAACAGGGGATAATTATATATATGTATATGTGTGTGTGTGTATATGTGTGTATGTATGTGTATATATATATATATATATATATATATATATATATATATATATATATATATATATATATATATATATATACATTTTTTTTTTTTTTAGAGGTATAAAACAAATGTACAGCATGCACATATAATATAAGAAACAATAAACATCCAACACTAAACACTGGTCCAATTAATACAGCAGTGCAGTATAGTAGTAAAGTGTAAGCCAAACATATCCATATATCATGCAGTGCCAGTTTTTCATAGAATCCCAACTACCTTAGAGAATTCAATTAGTTCTTCTCTTTCACTGTTTTGGGAAATTATCATGTTGCATAGAAGGCAGTTCTTTAACTGCTACAAAACCTGAAAGACACCCACATAATTGTGGCAGTCTGACCAGATATGTTGAGAGGCAGCCTTTGAAGAATGTTGCAGTGTAGGAGGGAATTGCCTTAGATATCAAAGAGAGGTAGACGTACCATTTCTGTAGAATGTATGGTTCATACAGTCTTCTACTAAATTCTGTTTTTTATACCTGTAATAACCTATACAAATTGGCTAAAATATTCTAAATCTGATTACAGGAATCTTGTGCGTAGCTGACCAGTGTCATGGATTGCGAGAGTTGGCATTGAACTATTATTTACTGAGTGACGAGCTCCTCCTGGCACTGTCTTCAGAAAAGCATGTTCGTCTGGAGCACTTGCGTATTGATGTTGTCAGTGAAAACCCAGGACAAACACACTTTCATACCATTCAGAAAAGCAGCTGGGATGCTTTAATAAAGCACTCTCCTAAGGTGAACTTGGTCATGTACTTTTTCCTTTATGAAGAAGAGTTTGATCCCTTTTTCCGTTACGAAACACCAGTTACACATCTGTACTTTGGAAGATCGGTAAGCAAGGAGGTGCTTGGCCGTGTTGGCATGACATGTCCTCGATTGGTGGAGCTTGTCGTGTGCGCCAATGGACTTCGTCCGCTCGATGAAGAACTGATCCGCATTGCAGAGGGGTGCAAGAACCTGACAGCCATTGGACTTGGAGAGTGTGAAGTTTCTTGCTCTGCTTTTGTAGAGTTTGTAAAGATGTGTGGTGGGCGTTTGTCCCAACTTTCCATAATGGAGGAAGTATTAATCCCTGACCAGAAGTATAATCTGGAGCAAATTCATTGGGAAGTGTCCAAGCATCTTGGCAGAGTCTGGTTTCCAGACATGATGCCTACTTGGTAGGATGTGAACATGCTTCGCTTCCAGTGGGTTTATGGAAGAGCACCTTAAATCTTCAATATGTTGCATGGCAAGCTAATAATTCTTCTACCAGTTTTCTTTAATTTTTGCTTTATTTAAAAGAAGTGTGCAGGAATTAATTTATTCAGTTCACACTATTAATTTTGAATCTCTAGGGACCATTGCACAGCTTTTGTTTTTCTGTAAATTCTGTAGATTAAGTTAAAATATACTTGTGTAAAAGCTGGGCTGGAGACCTGTACTTTACTCAGCGTCCTTTTCAATGATTTTGTTTTAAAGTATTCAGCTTTGTGCAAAACCTAAAGCGTCCAAAAATGTGTACAATTAATTTATAGACCTCTTTTCTGGATGTGTATTTTGCCAAAGGCAAGGGGTATCTTTTGCACTTACATGATGCATCTGTCATTTGTATGTACTTAATAAATAGGCCCTACTTTCTTGTCTCACAGTTCCCATTTTCATAATAATCCCTGGTGGAATGAAAATCTCTTTGTTTCAGAGCATTGTATGCACACTTTTCATTTTGTTTACATAAGGATTAGTAGGTTTGAATGTGTAGGAATGCAGGAAGGTTTAGGAATGCTTTTATATGGTGTTGATATAAAAGTATATGTCTCTCTGAAGTGGGCATGTCATATCTCTAATTGAATTTTGTATCATATAGGCACAGTTCTCCTAGGCTTTTTCACTTTCTGCTATTTTTTAACATTTCTTTTACCTGACTTAGTGCAAGATCGTTCCCAAACGGCATCTTTGTCCATATATTTGTATTGTACTACATACAAATTGATGAAATTTGATTTTCCTACCTTACAACATCAGTTTCTGACTGACTGAAAGATTAAACTTAAGATCACAGAGAGACACAGGCTATCTTGTGATTGGGCCATAATATGAGTACCATCTGCCAAACATTGTGAGCGTCTGTATTGGTGGACCTCAACAGACTGAAATTGGTATTGCAAGGTAGCTGGCAAGTTAGAGTATTTTCAATCATTTTCTAGTCACCTTTTTGATAAGAGACATGGATATAGACTACATTAATCAAGTATCTCAAAGAGGGGCCAATTCTGACATCCCTCTCCTCCATGTAAAAAAAAAACATTTATTTTTGCTAGACAACTACTTAGAACCCCCCAAACATTATATATATATTTTAAGCAGAGGCGCTAGAGAATAAAATGGTGGGTGTTGCATATTTTATGTCACCCAATATTTGCGCAGAGGTTTTTCAAACCCAGTTTTTTTGGGGGAAAAATACACTTTAATGCATTTTAAAAGAGAATGTGGCTCCTCCTCCCTTTATACTTGCCTAGATGGATGCAGCATCGGTTCCCCGCCAGCTCTAAGGGTAAGAACTCGGCGATCACATGACCGCTGAGTTCTCTCTGCTCTGCACAGAGAGTGGGACTGTCAGTCATCGCTGTCTGTTCTGCACCCCCAGTCCTCACTGGAGCGCCAGGCTGTGGAGGAGGGAGCGGCTGGCTCAAGCTCTCAATGCTTAGATGAGAGGCTGAGCCAGGTGTCGCTTCAAACTCTGGAGTAGATCCCAACTTTGAAGTTGGGATCTTTCCTCAGCCTGCATCGGCTGAGTGATGTCAGCCAACAGTGGACTTCAGTCCTCTGTCAGCTGAAAACGGGTCACAGGAGTGCAGAATGAACTGCACTCCTGTGATCCAAAAAAAAGCTTTGGCTGTAATTCTCAATTGCACAAAAACATAATATAATACCCAATTTGTGGTAAAATATAAAAGATGATATGCTGAATAAGTACATACCAAACATGTCACACTTTAAAATTGCATCTGCCTGTAAAATGGGGTCAAGCTATGGTATCTAAAAAATCCCCATAGGTGACACTTTAAAAGCCTTTACAGGCTACTGGTTTAGGGTTACACTGGAGGTCTGGAGCTAGAATTATTGCTCTCGTTCTGACATTCATGGTGATACCTCACATGTGTGGAACAATCCCTGTTTATATGGCGGGCGGGGCGCTTTAAAAATATTTTTATTTATTTTATTTAAAAAAAAATAAATAAAATTTTAATCAGCTTCATTGCTATCACAGTAGATGAACAACATCTCTCATCTGGCTTCCAATGCAGCTGATCAGGCAGATAGTCTGATCGGCTGCTTCACTGGCTAGTAATGGCCAGGTAAAGAAGGAACTGGAAGTGATGAAATTCTTGTTGCTTCTGGTTTGTGATGTCACACAGTGGGAGGAACAACATAAATTCCTCTTACTATGTGCCTGGAGCCAGATGCCACCGGTCACATCTTTTAGTCTTTGTCATTAGGTAATGTAATGCTTTTAAGGGTGCACACATATACAAAAAAAAAAGAAATGAGCACTTACCAATGCTACCCTTGCTATACTAGTTTGTTATACCATTTGTCAAGCAAACATCCCTGTAGTTTTCTTCACCCTCTGATACTTTTTAGGAGTGTCAAATGCCTTCTCTATTAGGCCCTGATGTCACCAAGGAGTCTGGCTGCTGTCTGTGAGTGAGATCAGGGATTTCCAATGCTTATTACAGTTAGAGAAAACGCAGCCTGGTACATGCTGTCATTCAAAGAATACTACATCATTGTTAGGGCACATGCACAAATGCGGTCTGGGAGCAGTAAAAATAGGCAGTTGAGCCACAGTTTTATCTGCCATAAAGCTTGCCCCTTAACACAGCAGCTGGAGGGGGATGTATACATGCTGTGGGTGCAGCAAAATTTCTAGCCCTGTTTAATTTTGTGGACAGTACCAGCAACGAGTGGAATCCATTAAAATTAATAGGACTATGCTGCAACCACATGCAGTGCACACAGTGGTGGTGTGGGCTTTTCATGGTTAAAACAGACAGTGAGGAGGCAGAATATCACCTTTCAGCTGCCTGTCAACCATCTCCTGAAAAAGGATCCAATGTGGATCACTTTACACAGGGGCAGCAAGGGCTGACACCAGTGTAAACAAGCCCCTATTAACATATAGGTTAACTGTAGGACTGTTTTAGGGAATACAAAATACAGAGCTATGGCAACTGTAATATTTTGTTGCATCTGTCAAAAATGTCCTGCTCAGTTATCTTGTCACAGTGATACATTTTTGTAAGTAGAGTTCGCGGATATTACCTTGTGCTTTCTGGAGTATGTGTGATATTAAAAAGAGTCTGCTGGTATTAATATGTGGATGAATCAGTCCACTACTTGAGACAACTAGAACTAAAACAAGGTTGTGTCTACAAATCAATAAAGGATGTCCCCATAGGGTTGACATTTTAACCTGTGATATTGCTTCCTTATCACACTGGAAAAGAATACAAGAAAAAAATCAGGTTGAAGTATGATGACCAAACTTGGTATACCCAGGGTATTACTAGGTCCAACCAGGGAGCTGTGAGAACACTGAGATTTAAAGGATTTTACAGAGTTTATTAAGGATCAGTGGAACGTATGTACTGACACCATATGATAATCATTTTTTGTGTACTAAGCATTGATCAGGGCTATTCAGTTCCAAAAACACACAATAGGCAGTAGTTCTGAAAAACATACTTGGTCAGCCTAAGGGCCTATTCCTGTCTGGTTTTGATACGCAAAAGTCATTTTGGTGCATGAAATCACGTCAAATATAAATCTAATGCTTTCCTATGTGGCTCATTCATATCTATGTGCTGCAGTGTAGTGTAAAAGAGAAAAGGAAACTCTATGGGCCCAGTCACACCTACATGTATGCGATACTATGCATGCTGCATGCACATAGAACAATGTAACTGCAGCCAAAGCGTTTAAGGGACAATTCACACTACATGCGTTTCAGTTGCTTTTTTTCTGCATCCAAAATGCACAGAAAGTAGGTTGTATGGTTGTTAATGTCATAGTCCACATCAGTGCTTGCATTCCAGTGCATTCCGGTTGCAAATAAAAAAAAAAGTAGAACAGGCTGCATTTTTCCTGCACAGAACTGTACTGGAACATGGAAAAACGCACTAGAATGGATGTCCCTATTTAAAAATTGAAGAAAAAGAGAAGGCAAAAAATTAACCGGAAAGCATAAAAAACACACTTGTGGAAACGCATCTGTACTGCGTTTTTATAGTGTGAACCGGCCCTAAAGTGTTACTAAACCCACAACAGTAAAAAACCAGTCTGTATATGCAGTAAAGCATGCTTGTTTATACTCACTTTGGTGCCTAAGGGGTTAATGCCCTGCATTGTGTAAAAATGCTGTTTGATCCCGACTTCTCTGATCCTCCTCTTCTTCTAGTGACCTCCTCTTAATCTCCCGATAAGACATATCGTGTGGAGTCACTCTGCACATGCTCAGTTTGGTGTGTATTGCTATAAAGGTTTTCGTTTTTAACGTGGGAGTGCAAATAATCAGCACTGTCCAGACAAGAGGGCAGGAGTTCTGCATCCTCCTACAGCTGAATGAAAACTCCTCCTACAAGCTTTAACCACTGCTCTGCTGAACACTGATAGAAGTCACAAGACTGCTCTAGCTGCTGATGAGAAAAGGTATTTAGCAGTTTATATTTACTAAAATAATTGCATTTCCATGTTCTGTGTACTGGGGGAGACCAGACAGAGTGAATGCAGGGTCCAGGGTTTAGTAACACTTTAAGCACACCATAAAGCATACTTTGATAGGATCCAGTTTATTTGAGATGAATGGTGTCTTGGGACATCTTCCCTTGTAGATTTTTTTCCCCAAACTCTCTTCAATGCTGTATATAAACAGAAATCTTTTTTTTCTTCTTTTTTTTTTTGGGGGGGGGGGGGGGGTGAGGTAAACATAAGTGTGAGCACCATCTTTTAACTAGGGATGTAGCTGTGTTCAGAATTAAGCACCCACATTCAAAATCATGTTAAATAGGAGTCAGTACACACCTGACATAATTTAAAGTTCCTCTAAATAACCCAAATAAAGTTTAGCTGTTTTAGTAGGTCTTTCCTGACATTTTCCTACAGCAAAAGCTAGGGTCCGCAGA